TCATTTTCTTTATTTTGAGTCTTATTGTCACCAAGGCTGGAGTGCACAGCCTCGACCTGCTGGGCTCAGGCAATCCTTCCAAGTAACTGGAACCACAGGCGCACACTGCCACAACTGGCTAATTTTTTTATTTATTGTTGAGACGAGGTCTCACCAAGTTGCCCAGGCTGGTCTGGAACCCCTGGACTCAGGCAATCAATCCTCTTATCTCAGTCTTCCAAAGTGATGGGATTATAGGCATGAGCCACCACACCCGCCCTTTTTTTTTGGAGACAGTGTATCACTATTTTGGCTAAAGTGGTCTTGAACTCCTGGCCTCAAGTGATCCTCCTGTCTCAGCCTCCCAAAGTGCCAGGATTAAGGCATGAGCCACAGTGCCCTGCCTGGCCTTGTTCCTTTAACACATCAATCCCCAGAAGTCTGGGGTGGGGTTGGGAGGGGTTCCTCTAGCAGATATTCCCGATTTGTCCACTATCTTTGGGGATGAAATAAACATGCAGAACAACCAAAACTGGAGGTCTTACCCTCCCACTCACCTTAATGATCTGCCCCCGGCCTGGCTGCAGCGCAGCATCTGGTTGCAGAGTCCCAGACCACACCCCGGTGCAGTTGATAATCACATCCACGCCTCCTCTTGCCACCTGGCAGCAGCCAACAGGGTAGAGGAGAGTTAGGAGGGAATCAGGATCCCGGTATCCTCTGCTCTTCCTCTCCACCTCCTTCCCTGAAGGGCTGGTATCTTCCCATTCTCAGGTCTCAGGAAGGGGAAGGGGTCTTGATGAAGAATCGGAAGGACCTGGTCCTAGTCTCCCCTCTGCTACATACCCAACGTGTGACCTCAGATAGGTCCCTCTACCTTCCTGAGGCTCAGCTGCCTTCATTATACCACAGGGCCAGTAATATGGCTATGAGGGCCCCACGCAACTCTGGATATAAAAGGGCTTGGAATAAAGTTCTGTGGAAAGGCAAAATCTTCTCAGAACCTTTCAGAAGAAGTCAGAAAGGAAACAGTTCACTTCCTTCCTTGTAACATCATTCTCTTGCTTTCTACTCTGCCAAGACATCTGCAAAAGATGTGTTGGAACCCCTTGTTCTGTCTATGCATGGGATACTCTTCAAATCAAGGATGCATGATGGACACAAGCTCCCCAGCCCAGTTCCAGTGACTGTCCTCACAAGCTGGGCACACACATTGCAAGACACTACTCTTATTAGTGAGCCAGTGTTTAGAATGAGACCTGCATCTGAGTCAACCATGTATTTCAACTGTCCGTCAGGGTCCAACCCAGAGCAGGTAGGTCCTTATCATGTATCACTAGTAGTTACAACCACTGAGTGCCTTCCTTGTGCCAAGCATGATTCTACGTGCAGGGACTGAATGAAGTCATACAGTAAAGCTCTTGCTGGCAGTGACTGATGATGGTAGCTGCTACTGTCATTATTATCGGTGTGATAGTGCATTGGAGGTGAGTCAGCTGACGGCCTGGGCTTTGTGGAAACACCAACCCAAATGCCAATAGGAAGCCACTGAGTGTCTGGACCTTGGGACCTTGGGAGTGGAGTGCAGCTGATACTGAGAACAGGCAGCCAGCTCTCCATTCCTAAAATGCATTGAGGCTCAGACATAAATTAGCCCTAATAGCTGCCATGATCCCATCTTTCCATTGTTCCTGCCACCAACATTAGGCAGAGCTCGTCCCTCAGAGTACCGGAGTCTTCCTGGGATTGAGAAAAGGTCTAGAGACTGGGACTAACCTACAGGGACCCTTGGAGCCTGAGAGGGGTACCCCTGACCCAGCAGCAGGAAGCAGAGGCCTCCCCTCTTCTTCCCCCCACCACATCCACCCTCTGTCGGCCCTGCAGCTCACCTCCTCAAAAGACTCCACCTTCCGCTGGAAGAATTTCACTCCCCTCTCGGTTAACCTGGGATATTAGACACATCAAAAAGCCCAGTATTCAGTTCTCTGCCGCATCCCTCCAAGGGGGGATATAGGGGACCTTTTGCACAGAATCTTTGTGAATGTTAGTCCCATGGGATGCTCATTGAGCAAAGGGCTGTGCAGTGCAATCAGTTCTGGGTACCTTGATGGACTAGCCATCCACAAAATGTCCCTTGAGAAACCTGAGATGGTCCAAGTCCCTCGTTGGTCAGAAGGAGTTGGGAGAAGGGGCTTGCTGAAGGCCATATGCTGAGTTCATGAAGGGGTTGGGACTAAAACCCAGTTTGTTCCGTTCCCACACTTCTGACTACCACCCCATTGCCTGGCAACATCAAAGAGAATGAGATTCAGAGTGGAGGAGGGGCAGGGCTGGACCAATGTCAATGCCTTTTGTCAGAAACTGGGCAAAAGGAAGGAGGTGACTGGGAACATCCACCCCTACCTTTAAATGTCCCAGAGGAAAAATATCTGTCACTATTAGAAATATAGGAGAAGCATCCAAAGAACAGAAAGCTGAAACATACCATCTGGACTATTTAATTCACATAATTTCCTAAAGATGAAAAAACTGAGAACATTTTTTTCTGTAAGAAGCTGAACAGGAATCATAAGTTAGAGGAAATTGCCATGTCTTATTACAGTGATTCTCAAACCTGGCTGATAATTAGAGTCACCAGGGAACTTCTTCAAATGCAAATTTCTAAACCCTATCCCAGTTCTGATTCAGTAGGTATAAAGTGAGGTCCAGAGATCTATATTTTAAAATATCTCAGGCTGGGCATGAGTCCAATGCCCGTAGTCCCAGCACATTGGGAGACCAAGGTGGGAGGGTTGCTTGAGCCCAGGAGTTCAAGGCTGCAGGGATCTATGATCACATCAGTGCACTCTAGACTAGGTGACAGAGTGAGATCCTGTCTCAAAAAAAAAAAAAAAAGAAAAGAAAAGAAAAGAAAACAAAAGAAAGAAAGAAAGAAAAGAGAAAAAGAAAAAAACTCCCCAGGTCATTTGATAAAAGTCAACATCCTTTCTAGATTAAAAAAATTAATGAAACAGTTATATATAGAAAATGTGTGGAGTCTTCCTTAGTAGGTGAACATAAATAATGTATCTCTTAAGCTAGTACTTGCTAATTTGGAACACTACAAGATTCTTAATAATGTCAGGAACAAGACAGGGATATTCACTATCAACTGGATATCCAACAACTATCAGTTGTTCCAGAGGTAATGGCCAAAGCAGTTAGAGAAGAAAAGAGAGAGAGATAAAAACAAAAGGCAACAATGTTTTGCAGATGATGTATGTACATATAACTAGAAAACTTAAGAGAATCCACTTAAAACTATTATACAAACATTAGGGATTCTAGTGAAGTTGCCAATACAGAGAGGAATCCCATGATCTATCGTCTACTACAGCTTTAGTCCCTGGGAAGTGCCTTCCTCAAATTGAAGCTTAAAATCTCACCTTTCTGACAGCCACTGCAGATAGGTCTTCCCTTCCAGAAGCAGGCTTGTGTTGAACCAGCCGTAGCTAGAGTCATGGCAGGCAAAAAGTAGGAATAAAGTTCAAAATCAGAGGTATACTTGACAGCTGTCAAGCAGAGGTAGGAGCAGTGCTGTTCTGTGGGCCCCCGAGGGGTAGAGCCAAGACTACTGGGTGAAGTTTAAGGGGGAGAGGTGGTTTTGACCTCAATGCAAGGAAAAATCTTCTATCAGACAAAGCCATTCCTAACATATACAAGTGGAGATTGGATTTGTAGAGGGGATTTGGCATAGGATGGGGTTAGGAGAGAACAGAGAGGCAACAGGCTACAGAGAAAAGAAGAGAGGAGTCTTGGGTCACACAGAAAGGGTTGCAATCCCAATTTGGCCACTTGGCTGGGTGTGGCCTTGGAAAGTCAGCAAACAAAACATGATTGTGATACGAGGTTTCTGGACTTGTGATCCATTATTTCATACCCCCTATCTTCCCAGCCCAAGGCCCAGTTTGAGTTGGGGTGCTTCTCTAAAGGAACCGAACAGAGGACCAGGATACCAAGGTACCAGGGCATCTAGGCCTGGAGGGGACAGGAAGTTGGTGCCTCTAGACTCTACTGTCTTCTGGACAGATCTGTATGAATTGTGGGTTCTCAGCCCCCTTTACCTGTGACAATAACCTCACCTATAATCAGGGAACATGTCCACCTCTCTGGGGGTCAGCTTCCGAAATCCCAGAACTGTATCCTTCCAAGGAGGATCCTGAAGGGGAAGGAGAAAGGGGGCACAGGGGTGTGTGGAAGTCACAACAACAACAATAGCCAAGACTCATATAATGCTGACTGCATGTAAGGCTCTGTTCCAAGTATTCTACTCACACTGCTCCATTTAATCTTCACAACAAGCCATCGAGGTGGATGCTATTCTTATCCCCGTTTTGTAGATGGGCCAATTGAGGTGTAGAAAGATGAAATAACTTGTTTAAAGTCACAGAGCTAACGAACAGTGGTGCTGAGATTTGAACCCACAAAGTTTGGTTCCAGAGTCTGTGTTCTTAACCACCACCATGGGTAAGAATAAGACTAAGGATGGACCATGGGGGGAAGTTTGGAAATAGGAGAGACAAAGAGGGCAACAGTAAGAGTCACCAAGGGGTGAGAGTAGAAGACAACAGGGTGTAGGGACAGACAGCCTGAGTGGAGACCACAGTCTCACCATGTACTACCTTGAATTAGCTGAGACCCAGTTTTCTTATCTGTATTATGAAGTAAATAACCACTCTTGGTCCCGGAGAAGGTAACAAAATGGATGAAGCCCTAAGCACGGTGCTAAATACCAAATAAACCTTGGAAGTTGGCACAGGGTTCTGAGCATCGAGCCAGACCGAGCTCTCCAAGCAGCCTGAGCATGTGCCCCAGGTTCCTCTTAGCACGCTGGGTACCTAGAGGCACAGAGTGCCTGGGTTCAAATCCCAGCTCTGCCAGGTGAGAGCTTTGTGGCCTCAGGCAAGTGACTCCATTTCCCTGATCTTCTGTTTTCTCATCTATAAAATGAGGGTAAGGATAGTCCTTGCTTTCTGGCTATTGTGAGAATTAAATGAGTTGCAAGTTGTAAGGTAGTTAGGATAGGGTCTGGCACATAATAAGTACTTTGGCCGTTTTTGCAGTGATGAGCGTTTTGTTCCACCTTAATGAGAAGGCCCGGGACCTCCAGGGGCACACAAACCCCTCCGTCTTCAGTTCTAAGTGCCGGTCACTACAGAACATGCATGAGTTTTAGCTACACCAATCAAAAACTAGTTTCTCCTAGACATCAGAAGGTTCTTTGTCCTCGGCCAATTTGACATCAAAATTTGAAACAAAAATAACTTTAAAAAGCAAACATAAAATTTAAAGTAGGGCAACCCCTTCAGGTTCCCTCCCACTGTGGGAGTTTTCTGTCCTCTCAATAAATCCTGCTTTCAAAAAAAAAAGTTTAAAGTAAGCCTGTTTTGCCGGGCTCGGTGGCTCAACCTGTAATCCCGTGCCTTTGGGAGGCTGAGGTGAGTGGATTGCCTGAGCCCGCGGGTTCGAGACCCGCCTGGGCAGCGAGACCTCATCTCTACAATAAATCACAAAATCAGCTGGGCGTGGTAGTGCATCCCTGTAATTCCGGCTACTTGGAAGGCTGAGGCGGAAGGATCGCCGGAGCCCAGCGGGTCGAGGCTGCGGTGGCCGGGGAGCGGCCGCTGCACTCCAGTCTGGGCGACAGAGTGAGACTCCAACTCAAAAAAAAAACATAAATAAATAAAATAAAAATAAAAAAAATCCAGATGAGGTCTTGCTATGTTGTCCAGGCTGGTCTCGAACTCCTAAGCTCAAGCGATCCTCCCTCCTTGGCCTCCCAAAGTGCTGGGATTGCAGGTGTGAGCCACTGTACCCGGCCCCAGGGAGCTTCCAATTAGGTGTGTGAGATCTCCGATCCATCAGAATTCAGCTGGGAAGGGCGTCTGGGTCTGTCCTACTGTGCACACACATAGTAGGTTCTCAATGTACTGGAATAAGGGTAGCTCCTGCTTACAGAGCACATACCTTGTGCCTGGCATAGGGTTAAACACATGACATGAATCACCTCAACTAGTCTGTGAAGTGGATGAGGGCATCATTATCACAGTTGAGAAAATAGACTCAGAGAGCCTAAATAACTTGCCCAAGGTCACACAGCGGTTTGGTTTTTTTTTTTTTTTTCTGAATCAGCGGCTCACTCTGTCACGCAGGCTGGAGTACAGTGGCACGCTCACAGCCACCACAGTCTCAACCTGCTGGGCTCAGGAGATCCTTCCATCTCAGCCTTCCAAGTAGCTGGAACACAGGCAAGCACCACCACGCCCCACTAATTTTTTGACTGATTGTAGAGATGAGGTCTTGCCAAGCTGCCCAGGCTGTTCTCGAACCCATGGGATCGGGCAATCCTCACTTCTGGCTCCCAAAGTGCTGGGATTATAGGCGTGAGCCACCGTGCCCAGCTAACACAACAGTTTTAATCCTGTACTTTTTTTTTGAGTTGGAGTCTCACTCTGTCATGCAGGCTGGAGTGTAGTGGCACGCTCCCAGCCTCGATCTGCTGGGTTCAGACGATCCTTTCGCCTCAGCCTTCCAAGTAGCCAGAACTACAGATGCACGCTATCACGCTCGGCTAATCTTTTTTTGATTTATTGTAGAGACGAGGTCTCGCCAAGTTGCCCAGGTGGGTCTTGAACCCACGGGCTCAGGCAATCCACTCGCCTCGGCCTTCCAAAGTGCTGGGATTATAGGCGTGAGCCACCACGCCCAGCTAACACAACAGTTTTAATCCCAATCTTCTATGTGCCAGAGCCTGTACTTTTTTTGAGTGGAATCTCACTCTGTCGCCCAGACTGGAGTGCAGTGGCCGCTCCCGGCCACCGCAGCCTCGACCTGCTGGGCTCC